CTTTCTTACTTCTTCATAAGGGGTGTATTAAGGTTACTTAAGAGTCGGTCCCTGATACAGGCGTCCATAGACTACGGTAACCGCATTTACCATCAGACAGGCTGTATGCTTGTTTGCCATTATTGTAGTATAAAAAAAAGATTAATGATAATATTATGATGTCTGAACGTTGGGGATATTTAAGGAAAATTAATACGATTATATAGTTAATGGTCGAGAGATGGGCAGCAGCGTCCCTCTTAAAATAAGACCAAAGCCTAACTGAGGTTGCCAAACCGCCTGATAAGCGTGGCAACTACTGGCAAAAATCCCCAAAAGGAGGCTTATGTTCAGCAGTGAATAGTAAAAAGCTGATAGGATGATGATGAATATGAGGGATCTAAATAAGACAAATAAATGTCAAAACGATGATTTTTAGAAATTTGATATGCCTGGCTGTATGTTTATTCCACAAAAACTACTACACCATACTATACAACCCACCACAAACTCAAGTTTTATCCCAATCATCTGGACGAGTGGCGGTCTTCCACTGTGCGAAAAGAGTATATTCCTTTTTAAAAGGCCGGCAGTACACCTGCAATGCCGCTGGTATTGTGGGTGATCATGGGCGGCGGTAGTCACTTACCATCAGGTGAGCCGCATGCTCGTTTGCCCTCTGTGTTGTAAAAAAAAAATACCAAATGGCCGTTTCCACTTTGTGTGTAATTTAAAATTAGATGTACTTTTCATTTTGATATGCCAGCTAGAAGTAGTATATTTAATTGAATTTCCTATTTTTGAAATCCACGCGTACGAAGTGACAGGCTAACTAAAAGCCGGCTCACTAAATTTAAGTAACTAATGTCGTTTAATTTTTTTAAAATAATAGTACTTAAATTTGTTTACTATGCATCCAATAACTAAATAAATTAGGCTATCGCATCTAAAGATATTATTTACTGAACATTTAAAAGAAAGAAAGAAAGAAAAATTTTTTAATAGTAACTTTTTTCATTACCGTCCATTCGGAACGCAATTTCAATGACACCTCATTAGAACAAATCTGGATTGTGATGTGTGAAAAAGTTGTTATAGAGACATGAATTTCCTTACGGCGTATATTTTGGCCAACGCATTTCTATGATAAGGTTCTCCTAGGTTCTTTTTTTATGCAACATAGAATGGCAAACAAGCTGTCGGTCCACTTGATGGAAAGTAGTAACCGTCGCCTATAGACATGAGCAGTACCATGGACATAACAGAGTATACTATTTCGTCCATGATACCTCCATGCGTTGCCATTCCTGAGGACTCAGGTGTTATTCCTCTGTACCCTGTAAATTCACTGCCGTATCCCCTTCTTCAAACCGAAACATAGCCATGTAAATACAACTGCTTCACGGTACAAACACTAATAGTGTCCTATCAGTTGGCAGGGACCTCAAAGAAATATTATACCTCATATAAAAATATACTTTAATATTTTAAGAATTTATTATAGATAGATGGATATAGATAATTTATTTGCACACAAATAATAGATATATAGAGATACATACAAAAAAAGGAAAATACCTAAAAAAAGGTAACATAATTTTTCATTTCGTGAGTGTGCAACAACACATAATGGTCAACTCAGTTTATTGCTTCGCCCTCAAGAGAGTAAAAACACTAATATTTTGTTAGAGCCAAATATAATTTGCAATTTCTAATGTAGCAGAATAAACCTTAAATTACGACTAAAGCTATATTTGTTTTATACACTAATCGAAAATGTCACAATATTTGAAAAATAAAGAAACGAAAGTTAAAAAAATTCTTTATAAAATTTTATGGAGAACGCATTTGCTATATTGAAATTGGACCCGTAAACTAATTTTACATTTCGTGAAGTATTCAGACGACGTAAATTATAAATAATTTTAAATTTTCCCCCTTTTTTACGCATTACATTTCAATATAAATTATTTTGAAACAGTGATTTGACTGCAATTCTTTCGTAACAACAAATTCGCAAGTGTTTTGTTTCGCTCTAAAATTTCAAATAAACTTTTATGGTTAAAAGAGAAAAAAGTTTGATAATGGAATGGTAAACCCGACCGTGCTAACAGTAGGATTGGCATTTCTGTCCGAAAAAGATCGATTTTTGAATCGATTCAAATCATAATCTGACAAATCGATTACAAAAAATCGCTCTTACAATTTAATTATAGAAATTTAATTATAGAAAACAAAACGCGCACCATAATAACCGATATTAACCTTTTTATTAACCTTTTTTATAAGTATTTTTTTACTTTTTTTTTACAAATTTATTATATATATATATATATATATATATATATATATATATATATATATATATATATTGTTTGTAACTAACTTGAAGCTGTTTTACGATATAATTATTTGCCAACTTGTTTTCACGAATTCAATATTTTTTCGAATGGCGTCAACTTCAAAATAATGTGCTTTGTTATTTTTTTTGTAAATAGTATTACAATAATACGAATATACGTACAAAATAAGTCAGAATAATGAAAGCGCTAACATTCGTTATTCTTGCATACATCTCTTGCTTCAAAAGCATACTGAAAGATAAATTATGAAAGTGTATGAAGCAAGTTTATCTACTTTCATAACGCATGCATGTTTTTGAAGTAAGTTTATCTATTTTCATAACTCATGCATTATAATGAACTATTTTTTGTTGTCTTGTCTACTTAACATAATTTTTTTTTATTTTTTTATTTTATCTTTATTTGGTCTCCTAGCAATTGTTACACTGATAAGATTTAATATTAAAATTACTGTCTATTTATACTTAGTGTACAATCATTTTAAAGGAAACACAGCAATCTAATTAACAAATAAACAATACTATGGTATAACAATCTCTTGAGGTATTTCACATAGGTATAGTTTTTTAGATTCAATAGATGATTGCTTCACATAAGTTTTAGCTATTCAAATTAACTGCAATGCTTTCCTATAGAAATCCCCTTCTGTGTCAAAGAGCTATAATAATATTAATTAAAGAACAATTATTAAGACATCACGAACTCAAAGGAAATAGTAAGTGAACATAAATTAATTTTTTAAAATGACCAATCACAATTACTAGGTATGTATTGTTTTTATCCCGCAGTGATGTATGAGACGATTTTATTGTCTAATAAATGCCTTATTTTTTCGAAATTTCCGAGAGAATGAGGATCTCAATTGTGTTTTTTTTTTTATCGTTAGGGAGGAAACGAGCATGCGGTCTACCTGATGGAAAGCGGCTACCGTCGCCCATGAACACTTGCAACACGAGAGGAGTTGCTATTGTTAGGTATTTATTTTAATTTTGTTTAATTTTTATATAACTTAGAATGGCAAACAAGCTGACGGTCCACCTGATGGAAAGTGGTAACCGTCGCCTATAGACATGAGCAGTACCATGGACATAACAGAGTATACTGTTTCACCCATGATACCCCCCATGCGTTGCCATCTCTGAGGACTCAGGTGTTATTCCTATCTGTAAATTTATAGAGTAAGTGTGTAGGTGCACATCTTGTAAGAATTTAATTCTTATTAGAAAGATCATTAATTAGGTAAGAATAAAACTTACCTGTCTTCAGGAATGGAAACATAGGAAGGATAACATTGTGCGTTACATTTATTGTATTTAGTGTTGTTTTTTATTTCTATGCGACCGTTATCACTTTCAGTCAGACCAGAAGCTTTTTTGCCATTCCAAATTGCTTAAAAAATATGCAAGCATGAAGCATTTAACGATACGAGATATGTAGATAGCTTATTATCCAGCGCTATTAAAGAAATAATATGTAATCGATCGAGAGAGATAAAATTTACTCACACAATTGTCTAACCATTGATAACAATGTTTTGTTTAAAGAAATTTCACATTTAGTTCCTATATACCTATTTTATAATTTTTTTTTATTAAGAATATTTAATACCCCTTCCTTTCCTTTCCCATGGGTGTTGTAAGACGCGACTAAGTGAGGGCGATGGCTGGGCAGCAGCGTCCTTCTTAAAACATCTCCAAAGCCTAACTGCGGTTGCCAATCCGACAGCCGAGCGTGGTAACTACTGGAAAAGCCCCCAAGGGGGAGGCTTACGTTCAGCATTGGACAGTTAAAGGCTGGTACAATGTACCTCTCGGTGGGTTGGCTTAAACAATCGTTATGAAATTTGGTACCTGTATGGAATGTAGAAGGATATTGGCTTTTTATTACGGTCCGTAAACATATCCCTGTCACGCTGTCAAAGTCGTGGGTAAAAGTTAGTAAAGAATTGTTCAAAAGAAAAAACAAAACAGTTAAACAGTCTAAATAGGTTTATTAGACAGTTGATGTTTATAAATAAGTTAATACTAAAAAGATTTCTTGTCTCTATTTGGCCTATTTTATTTTTTTAAAGCGTACTCAGCTAGACCGTCGCCTACCTTTTTCTACACTATCAAAATAATTTATGCCCTTCTCCTACTGTTTTGAATATTAGTCGTAAGGAGATTGTTTAATTTATTGTTTTGAAGAGATGTAATGTGGTTATTAAACATTAATAACCATTATATAATTAATTATGGTGCACATAATTTAAATGATAAATAACTAGTTATAACTTATTTTGAAAATGCGCTTAAAAAACTAGCTATTTTACGGATTAGTGATTTAATATTATAAATAAAGTGTTCAACCGAGAACAGTTACGGGGAACGGTTAATAAAAAAAAATCTTTCTAGAATATTCTGAAATTAAATAAGTAAATAACCTCGAAAAAAAATTTGTTAAAACAGTTATTTCAACGAGTTGAATAACAAAAATGTGTTCTGTACTAACGAATGTAACTTTTAACAATAAAATCACACTATCATTATGTTAAATTTTTATGATAACTTTGTGCTTAAAAGCAAAAATTGCTTATTATACATATCGACTCACAGTTCCGCTCTAGTTTTATTTGAAAAAAGAAAATGCGACGAACATTATAAAAAAAAAAATACCTACGCCAAGTGCATGCTTTTGTTCATGTCCAATTAACCAACATGCCATAGTTTAATCGCCACACCACCACAATTATTTAACTGTTAATTTCCATTCTTTTACAAGCACCACACTTACCTAAAAGTTCAAAAAGTAAAATTTCTTCAAAAGAATCACAATTAAAAAATAAATACAAATGTTGCCACTAAACACTTGGAGCACAATTTTTTAAGAGTCACATTTATTAAAAACGTTGAAAAGTTCCATTTTTAAAAACGGGTTTTCGTTAAATCCGGTTTTAAAATTTTACTCATAGAATAATAGCCGCGGAGGGAAATTAAAAAAAAAATAGATCGGTAAACAATTGAACAACTAACAAAGCAGCGCTTCGCAGCTATCCGAAGCTGTACTGAAATTCTAAACCCCGACTTTGGTGTCCATGTCGCGCACCCCCCATTACTGAATTTCGTATCATAACCAAAAAGTCTCAAATCACTTATTCCACAATCTGTAATCAACTTTACCATATAATAAATAAAGTCTCAAATGCAACGACGCATAGTAGCAATTCGGTCCTTTCTGGAAACGACTCGCCGACTACAAGGCTATGAGAACGTATAATTTAAAGACGGAGTTGGGTATCACAGTGTTGGAATATAATTGTCTCGCTCCCACATATAGAGAAGATTGCGCAGCTTTTCGCGTAGCGGTGTCGGTATTGCTCATTTTTTTCTATTCTGTATTGAATTACGTATTATTTTGTGAATTAGATTGTGTCATGGTGTCATATTCCTTGATACCTGGTGACGGTACTACGGGATATATTCGGAGACAGGTAAATGTATTAATATTTTAAGAAAAGTGCTCATATTCTCTTTTCTTCTTTTTAATAAGAAGTAACAAACTCGAAGTATTACAGATATTTAGTTTAAAAACGTACATAGATGTCCACTTTATTTTTCATTGTACTATATAAAAATTGGTTATTACATTTGTAACGATAATCGTTGATAAAAATCCAACAAAAGTTTTCAACTAACTTCAAAACGGGGGTTCGTTTAGTTTATATTTGTTGCCTCATAACTCTGTCAGTTCTAAACCGATTTGGAAAATTCTTTTTTTATCTAAAAGGATATACTTACAGATTGGTGTCGTTGAAGTTACATCAAAATCGATCCAGTAGTTTAGTTTTTAGATCAAAATAACTGGTTTTGTCACATTTGAAGTTGGCTTTTTGTGGTCGCAATCTTTAATCTATTATTTGATGGCAAATGTATGTAATTATTTAACAATTATCATACATGTAACCTGTCTTAGGCTGTATTATAAATAGTACTTACAAAAGATATCTTTAAAAGTAATTTACACGTGCAGTTATTCGAGGTATATGTAAAACAGTTTCTAAATATAATCTAACGATTTTAATTTTTTTTATTCAACTTAGATTGGCAAACAAGCTGACGGCCCACCTGATGGAAACTGGTAACCGTCGCCTATAGACATGAGCAGTAACATGGACATAGCAGAGTGTACTGTTTCACAGCCATGCAAACACAACTGCTTCACGGTAGATACACGAATGGGACAGAGGTGCCCAAGCAATCAAAACTTGTACAAAGTCTCCCTCTATAGATATCAGAGCAGTAACGATATCTAATATAACAAGTATAAATATTTCAATTTATGCTGACATTTAAATAGAAAAAATGGTAAAATGCGTATACGTAATGGTAGGTATATGGTACTTTTACCATAGACTACGTGCATAGATAAACAGTCTGTGAAAAATATATAAGTAGATTTTTATAACAGATAAATCATCAGCCTGTAACTGTCCACTGCTGAACATAAGCCTTCGCCTTGAGGGGGTTTTACCAAAAGTTGCCACGTTTGGCAGACGGAATGTCAACCGTAGTCAGGGCTTTAAAGATGTTTTAAGAAGGACGCTGCTGCCATCCCTCGACCTCCCTTAGTCGGCTGTTACGACACCTACGAAAAAGGAAGGGGTGGCCTATTCTATGCTGGGACTAGACAGCCACTCTTTATCTTGCTTTTATGTAATGAAGTTTTTGTAATTAGTTATTAATTTTGTTTGCGTACATATTGTTAATCTTTATAATATGTATCATTCTTTGAAGGGAATTATAAAGAGTTTTCTTATTAATTAATTAATTCATTCATTCATTCATTCATATGCACATGTTATGCGCCTATTAGCATTCACTGAGAAGTAACACTTTTATATTTTCTATAATATGTCACTCTGCGTGTTCTACCGCCTGTACAATGGATTGTGCTCAGAGGAATTGTTCAATATGATGGCCACAGCCACTTTCTACCATCGTACAGCTCGCCATCGACAGAGAGTTCATCCTCATGTCCCACAGCCTCAATGGTCGCGTACTGCGCGGTTTCAGAGATGTTTCCTCCCACGAACACTCAGGTTGTGGAATGAGCTCCCTGCCGAGGTTTTCCCAAGAGACTACAGCATGGGGTTCTTCAAAAGGGAGGTATAGATGTTTCTTCAGGGTCGGCAACGCGCGCGTAATACCTTTGGTATTGCAGGTGTTCATAGGCTACGGTAACCACTTACCATCAGGTGGGCCGTATGCTTGTTTGTCACCTCAGTGGTATAAAAAAATACGATTAATTAAATGATAATATATTACTTGTACAACAATTAGTCGTAGGGTTGTCTTGAAAAGATTGCTCTCAGCAATAAGACCGCCTCACTGTACTTATACAATTGTATCGTTGTGTTTGTAAATTGTCTTGCTTATTTCCTATATTGTATAATGCAAATAAAGTATACTCATTCGTTCATTCGTATATTAAAATATTAATACAATAAATAATATAGCTAATTTAACAATTGCATTGAAATTGTTCTAGTTAATTGTTAAAAATTAAATTTTACTTAATTTTCTCTTTAGGAACTACGAAACATTTGATTTTTAAATAACTGCATATTTGTTGCACCTGAAAAAGAAATAGGATTTATGTAATACTTAATGAAATAAAGAGTAAAGTAATAATACTATTTTTTTTTTATACAACTTAGAATGGCAAACACGCTGACCGCCCACCTGATGGAAAGTGGTAACCGTCGCCTATAGACATGAGCAGTACCATGGACATAACAGAGTATACTGTTTCGCCCATGATACCGCCCATGCGTTGCCATTCCTGAGGACTCAGGTGTTATTCCTCTGTACCGTACCAGTAAATTCACGCCATAATTAAATATTAACTATATTTACTTACTTTATATTAACTAAATCAGCGATTCCTTATTTGTAATATAATAGAATTAAAACCTCCTTAATACAATAAAAATAAAAATGATCGTTTTGTAATTCAAAGTAATGTAACAGATAAATTGCGGTCACTTGCCTTTGAACTCGCCGACCAATGGAAAAGGCGGCGTTTCTTTTAGAATATATGAGCTAGATTCGTAATAATATATTATATACGTACTGTTATCAAAAATGCAGCTGTTAATTGAAAACTGCTACATTTAGGCTTTATTTTATTTGTACTTTAGTGACCAAATTACAAAAAAAATGTTTAATATAATACAAAAGCCCGACTTAATTCTATATAGTATTAAGTCCGCCTTTTGACCAATCGGTCGATCGCGACTATTAGTTTAGATGATCGCGGCAAGGCAAAAAAAAAAATTTGCTAATCTAGCGGAAGATGTTCAGACGCAATGCTCACACTAATATAAATAAGTAGTTACTAAGAATAATTTTGAATTTTATGTTTTACCTATTAATAATATAAAAAAATACTACAATATTACATAATTGTGTGAACTATGTTGTTTCATTTCAGACTTCAAGAAGTATGTAATTGGTAGATCGTACAGGGTTTTGTCAGTAAACAGTAGATCTTGGGTCTAGTCAAGTTGGGCACCCCTGCTATATAACATTCTCTCCCAGTCAACCTTTGACAAAACAGAAATGTGAATTTTTAAATTATGCGGTGAAATGTATTGAAAATTGCATTTTCCCGCATAGTACTATAAGATCCTGAACCACCTGCATCCAGTGATTTCCTGCAGCATATTTGAGATCTTCGTTCTATCTAGTGGAGAGTCGTGATACAAAACATTTACTTATAGGGCTTCCCACGTTCCATAGTTCCTTCACAAGCGGAAAGACGAGTGAGACAAAGGTACCATTGAAAACGCCTCTTTTTTCAAAACCTACTTCTTACGAAGTATTTAATAATAGCTTTTACCCGCGAATTCGTCTGCGTTACCGGTATGTTTACTGACCAAGATAAAAAATAGCCTTATATTCTTCTCCATATAGTATGTGTATAACAAATTTCATAGTGATTGATCAAGATATTAACGATGAAGTGATGAACAAACAAACTCACTTTCATATATATAATATTAGTAAGAATAATATCACCATAAGGCTAACTAGACAGCTTATTACCAGAGGGAGATTTTGTACAAAAGTCGTTTGATTGGGCACCTCTGTCCTATTCGTGTTTCTACCGTGAAGCAGTTATGTTTGCATGGCTGTGTTTCGGTTTGAAGGGTGGTATATGGCGTGAATTTACAGGGTACAGAGTAATAACACCTAAGTCTTCAGGAATGACAGCGCATGGGAGGTGTCATGGGCGAAACAGTATACTCTGTTATGTTCATAGTACTGCTCATGTCTATAGGCGACGGTTACCACTTTCCATCAGATGGGCCGTCAGCTTGTTTGCCATTCTAAGTTCTATAAAAAAAATATTACTAAAAGTCATAAGAAAAAAAAAAATTACCACACATATTCCATAATGCACATGAGCACCAATTGCTATCAATGTAAAACCATAAAAGAGCACAATTTCAACAGCCGGCCAAGTGAGTGAGACAAGCGTGCTGACTAGTAGTGGGTAGGACAGCCAACAAACTGCCTCGCACCTTTGGCTACCCATTATTGCCACTATCAAACGGCTCTGTGGATGATAAAAAAAAAAAATTAAAAAAAAAAACATAAAATGCTCCTTTCCGCTCAGGGTTTGCTGGAAGAGAACTCTTACAGAGTTAAGCTCGCCTGTTGTACATCTTTATTTTATATATATTATATGTTGTAATTTTTTGTGAAGAATAAAGAAAGAAAGAAAATGTGTCTATATATTAGCTGTTTCCTGCGACGCTGCCCACATGAATCGGTATATAAAATATCCTATGCGATAAAATATGATATATAACCTACCTTCAATATTTTCATCGAGTTTCAACCAATTCAACTGATCGGTTATTTCATAGCATTTTATATGTGATTCTTTAGATTGATATAACTTTTTTATTTATGAATCGATTGAAATAAAACAAACACTAAATGTTAAGTTGAGCAAATCGCAACGCATTAGTGAAAACTGAATTGAAAGCGGTTAAGCCATTTCTGAGATGAGCGTGCACAAACTTACAGACAAAGAGACAAAAATTATTGTAAAAATTATTGTTTTGGATTATATTGTGTTCATAAAGCCCCCCTATAATAGTTTTTCTTATATATCTTCCATGTACAAACAGCGACTAGTTACGATTTTATTATATGTATTGATATACAAACATACACATACACACACACACACACATATATATATAGACAGAGCGAGAGAAAAAGAGAGAGATGGAGAGAAAGCGGGAATCGAACTCACGATTTACCAAGAAAAGGTAAGACACTTAAACCGCTACACCATCAAATAAAATAGAAAGATGCTTATCCAAATACTCACGGAAATATTGCTAAATAAAGTCCCGTACAACAGGAAGAACGCTCTGGGATCGTATAACATGATATCGTTAGGGGAGTGGAGTGCCCATGTTGTTAAAATGAGAATCATCGTCAGCATTGACCATACAGGCTTGAATGCCTGCAACAATGTCATCTTCGTGGACTTCTGACTTTTTCGGTATCTGAAAATATACGGAATCGTTTATTACTAGAAATAATTTTTATTCAAATCAACTTAATTTTAAACATCTTCAACCGACTTCAAAAGAGGATGGTCAATTTAAATTCGATTGTATTTTTTTATGTTTCATTTCCATACGACACCGTCAGTTAAAAATTTACTTGGAAAATTCTTTTTTTCTATCTAAAAGGTTATACCTACTTACAAATTGGTCCCATAAAAATGTTATCAAAATCGGTCCAGTACTAATTAAGGCAAAACATCAGAAGGCCTACCATGTAATGTGTTCCGAAATTTCGGAGTCAAACGAAACACAAATTTGATGTTAAAATTATATAATACATGCCGTTTGGAAATATTAAAAATGTTAAAATATCGTTCCTTTGGACTTTTATGATAGGATGTATGACGAACGAAATGTTAAACTCCATTTATTGGTCCGATTTTAGTATGAACAAAAACACGAAATTGAGTCCGAAATTTTGGAATTTCATTTCATGGGAGACCCGCTGGTTTTATCACAATTGAAGTTGTTCTTTTATGACACAATTTAGGACAAAATCTTTATGGAATAATATTTTTTATGACTCTAAATGCATTCAATATGAAGCTAGAGAAACTCAGCTGTTGCTTTTGAAACACAAATTAAATTTTTACAAGTTGATATAAATACAAGGTATCAAATAGTACAAAAATAAAGAAAGAGACGCAGATAACGACTTTATTTTGTTTTGACCTATGACTTGAGCTATGACTATTCGGTCACTTTGATTCTTGTGCAGATACCCTCATTTTGGATTTTATAATGCAGAGGAACTGCAAGTATAGCACTCTCCATAGTTGGCTGAGTTATTTGAAGCTATTACATTCGGGCAACCGTGTAGTACCATGAACTAAATATATGTACATTATAACTTAGTTAAGAGCTTATAAAAAGAACTGATATGCAAGAGTACATACAAGTAAACATTGTAAATGGCGACGGGCAACGTGGTAAAGAGTCCAGTGGCGTGAATGAGCACCTCCAGGAATTGCACGAAGGTGATGTCCCCAAACATGTAGAACTTGTATACGTCACGACCCAAAAAGTAAGGCACTAGGAACAGAATGGTTGCTACCTGAAAGTAAGTTTATGTTGAATAGCCAATGATTATTAGCCTGGCGACCTCGTACAGACAAACGTGGTGTAGGCGACCCCCCACTAGATGGAGTGACGACCTCAAATGCATTGAAAGCATTGTTTATTTGTTACTCCTTAACGGCTGAAATACATACATACATACATACATAATGTCTCCCATTAGGGTAGGCAGAAACAATGGAACGCCAAATGCTTCGATTCAAACAAACCTCTTTCGCTTCTTCCACATTCATCAATCTTTTCATACACGCTCGTCGGTTACGGGTACTTTTAATCGACGAGCGTGTAAAAATAATCGGCTGAAATAATTTTCGTAAAATTTTGTAAATAAATGGAAAAGGACATAATATTGCATTTTATGACGGTCACGTGGATAAAGTTGCGGTCATAGCTAATAATCATCATTATCATCATTTCAGCCGTTACCTGTTCACTGCTGAACCTGCTCCATAGACTGCCATAAGGAACGAGAGCGTTCCTTATAGCAGTTTACCATTTGGAGATTTTACCCGTAGTTGCCACGCTTGGCAGTTGGATTAGCAACCGCAGTTTGGTTTTTAGTGATGTTTTAAGAGGGACGCTGCTGCCCATACTTTGATCATTAAATTCCCATAGTCGCCTCTTACGACGCCCGAGGTGGCCCATTCTATGCTGGGACCACATAGCTAGTAGTAAAAAATAAACAACATATTTATATATATATCTTGTTTCTTGACATCTTGTTTCGAGCTAAGCATAATTTGTAACATCTACAGGTGTTAAACAATTCGCGGGATTTATTTTTGAATAAATAAATATATAAATAAGCCATGAAAAATTTCCCATACCACATGAGGTCTACCATGAATGTGAAAGAAACACTAATTTGATGTTAAAATTACATAGTACATATCGTTTAAAAATATGAAAAATGTTACAATACCGTTTCTTTGGACTTATATGATAGACTTTGTGATGAACAGAATGATAAGCTTCATTTACTGTGCCGATTTCTGTATGAACGAAAATACGAAATTGAGTCCGAAAATTCGGAATTTCATTTCATGGTAGACCAGTTTAGGTAGTTTCACCAGGCGGTAAACGTCGTCTATAGATATGGACATTACAAAGTACACTGTGACTCCCGTAGTATCCTTCACGTGTTGTTATGTCTGAGATCTAGTAAACTTTAAGATAAAAAATGTTTGTTTTTTGTATCTGAAAGTTTAAAGGTTAAAAGTGATTGCTTTTAACCTTTTTTTTTTGTATATTTATTAAGATAACGCTGCTATATATCGCATTTATATTATAACAACTATTTATTTTAAATCTTAACAACTTTGTCCAGATAATTATATTTCATTACATTGTTATATTTTTTTATTTATATGCAACTTAGAATTAAAACAATCTGACAGCTGACCTGATGGAAAATGGTAACCATCGCCTATAGACATGAACAGTACCGTGGACATAACAGACTATACTGTTTCGCCCATGATACCCCCCACCGTATATCGTTAGCAAAGGCGGTATGTCCGAACCGATACGACATCTTCGAGAAAAGAGCATATTCCTTTTTAAAAGGTCGGCAGCACACCTGCAACGCGTCTGGTGTAGGGAATGATAAAAAGCCACGATAGTCACCATCAGGTGAATCGCATGCTCTTTTGCGTTCTGTATTTAAAAAAAATACTCTAATACTTACCCACATACTCAAGTCGTACCCCCACGGTAGGAAAAGTGTGCCCGTGCTGTATTTCTCGCAGTGACTCGTGTAAAAGTTCAGCGTGATACTCACACATAGTAAGAAGCCCCTGTAAGAAGTTTTAAAGACTTTATATTGGTTGGTATGTTTTAAGATTCAGTTTTACCAGACTTTGTACAAATAATAGGAATTGTATCCCACAAAAAACATCTTACTTTTGGAATCCGCGTGTGCGTAATAGCGGCCGAAAGGGGGAAAGGAATTGTTAGTAATGGAGATTGAGAAGCCCATTGCTAGCAATATACTCAACCATGTCGACCTACTCGTGTTCCCCCTGGAAACTATCATGGTTAATTCCTGATGAATTCATCATGATGGGCTAACTGACCTGTTTTCATTCTCATCTATCACCCTTCACTGGTGCTCCGCCAGCGTATCCCGTTAGCGCAGGCGAGGTTACCATACCATTTTCACCCATCAAAAAAAAAAAAAAAAAAAAAAAAAAATAGCGGCCAAAAAGATAGTAGATATATTAATTTTTATACAATAAAGATTTAATATTTTATTAGTATTCATGCTTTTTGTCAATGATTCCCCAAGAGACTAAAACATGGGTTTTTTTATGAGATATTAATGGAATGGTAGAACCTGTGCTATCGGTATACGCTAGCGGGGCACTAGTCAGTGAGTGGTAAGTGAGAATAAAAGGAGATCAGTTAATTCATCGTGAAGAATTCAACAAGAATTAATCACAATGGTTTCCAGGGTATCCACGTGGAGGTCAACCTGATAGGATATTTTGCAACCAATGGAGGTTCTAGTCCCCATTATTAATAATCCCATTACTCTTCACAACATGAGGTTTGGCATCATTCGTAATGCTCTTGGTGTTATAGACGTCGACCACGGTAACTGCTTATCAAGCAGTACTCATATGCATGTCAGTGGCAGATTAAGCCCGTCAGAAGCCTGGCACGGCTAAGCTGATATGAGGCCCCAATTTAAGAAGTTGGTGTAAATTTATAAGTTTTTTACTCAGTTCTCTGTTGTATATATAAATGTTTATGTTTATTTAGTTAATTTTTTTTTTCAAAAAGGAGTAAAGAAGTTTCTTCAAAGTCGGCAATGCAAGCTTAATTCCCCTGTTACTGCAGGCGTTTATGCTTGTTTATCACCTTAGTAACAAAAAATATACGTACCTGAAAGTGGGAATTGAGAAGTCATGGTCTCTACCGAAAAGGGAGACGAGGCAATAGGGTATCAGAAACACAATGTAGGAGTCTAGTCCGTGGTCAAACATCTCACCCAGCGGCCCTGAGACACCTATTCGACGCGCCTGCTTACCATCTATACCATCTGAAAAAGAATTATTGAAAAATATGTTTTATATCTATTTTTTAATGCAACTTAGAATGGCTGACAGCTCACCTGATGGAAAGTGGTAACCATCGCCTACAGACAGGAATAAGGACTAATATTTCCATCGTTTATCTTCCCCCCAGGCCGGAGTTAATACCCCATTACTATAGCAATATATGGCATAATGCTAACAACATGTCGATCTCCACGCGATCCCTGCTGGAAACCATCGTAGTTAATTACTAAGAAATTCGCCATAAAGAGTCCAACTCAATTTATATTAGAATAGAATAGTAAATATTTATTTCCAGAAAAACACATAGTTATAACAGAAAATACAGTAATGTTATATATAAAAAGTGTCTCATATTAGGCAAAAGGAACTGGCTCCGCTGATGCGGTGAGTGTCCCAGTGCAATGTGTACAGCTGCATAGCGCTGGTTTTCAGCCAGTCCCTCTCATAACAAAATACAACACAAATACAAACGGGTACAACTGCAATTGCATGTTACAAGAACGTGACCTTTATGTCAATGCATATTAAAGGCTATTCTATTTTTATTCCTTTAAAAATTTGACGACCTTACTAATTAAGAGTAACAACAGTCGCCTAAAGACATGAATTTAAATGATCAATTAAAGAAATAGAATAATTTTGATTTTATTTTTAATTGTCAGACAATTGCGACATGACCATATTTCGACGAGCTAAAGTATGAACACTCTCAAGATTTTAAGGTATACTTAAGCATTGTTTAAACAGACATTTTTCTAACTACCGCCCAGTTCGGAATGCAATTTCAGCTGAGAAGAACGGGCAAGAAACACAATTGATGCTTTTTTTCAAATAAAAGTTAAGTTTACAACAAAAAATAATTATGAGTGGATAAAATGACTATCACAAACTTCGTATTGATAAAAAGAAAAAAAAAATAAAATAAAAAAGTATTAAGCTACAAACAATTACAGTATTCTTGAATAGATCAGTCTCTACTAGAAGCACTCGTTCACGAGTATGACGGATGAGCTAGCCATCGTTGTGTTCAAACATATTATAGGGAGCCCAACGGCCCAACCCATCACGCCGCCATACCACATAGGATACTTTATATAACTGAGTTACGCGGGCAAATCCATAGGATACTAGTTACTTAAAAATACAAAAAGAATACTTACCTAAATTATAAGCTAGGAATAAGAGAAGTCCACACACCGGGTATACCCAGAATGGCAATTCAGTTTCATTTATTATTCTGTCAGCTGGGCCCCCTGACGCATATAATTTGTAATCATATATTGAGAGTATTACAACATCTATGACCATACACACAAACCCCGCAAATGTTAATAGATTCGGTGCTATCCATTTCGGTATAAACTGCAATTTAAAATATATTAAATTATTAAATAATATAAAAAATGTAATTATTAAATATCATTAATTAAATTATAAATTATCATTAATAAAAATGTTAAGTGTCATCAATTAAATTATTAATTAATGTCTATTAAATAAATTATTAAATACCATTAAAAATATTATCACATATACAGAGTGACTTCAATCGTGAGGATCAGTTGGAAATTGGCAAGTAATCTTACTATAATCATTTTAAAACGATTCTGAATTCGTAGACATTTAGATTAAAATAATTGAATTTCGAACGCGGAATCGAACGAAATTTACGTGTCTACAAGTAGATTTTGCTTCGCATAAAATCTAGTTTCAATCGTTAAAAATACATGGCCAATATGGAAATAAATCCTGTTTGTTAGAAAATAAATTATCTCAATGTAAGGAATACACTTCTGCGTGTACGTATATATATATATTGCAATTGCAAGTAATAAAATACCTATGTATTTAACCGTGAAATAGGAACGAACTAATTTTAGTTTTCGTAAGCCGTCCTATGACGTTCACAGCGCGATATTTATACAGATGCTTCAGTCATATTAATCGATTTCAACTTAGGTAAATTAAATATTTTAAATAATACGCCAATGGTTTTAGTATATTATTATATCTATCTAAATTCACACCAAATCACGCGAGATAGGTAGAGAAAATCAATTGGTAAGATCTTCTTTACATATGTCTCTTGCTTCCTGCTTCCTGCTTTTATAATTTGTCTCATACGTGGGGAAAGGGATTGTTAGTAACGGGGTCTAACAATCCCATTGTTAAGGAGGAAAGGATTGTTAGTAATGCGAACCGTCAGTCCTATTGCTAGCAATATATCCTATCTAGTCGACATACACATAGTCCTCCCTTGAAACCATCGTGCTAAATTCTGGAATTCAACATATCGTGCTGAATGCCAGAATTATTACCCGGGTATATTCATCACGATGGAGTAACTGACTTGATCCATTAAAAAATAGCCCGATTGCTAGCAATATATGCTATCAGGTTGACCCCCACGCGGTTTCTCTGGACACCGTCGTGATTAGTTATTGTTAAATTCGTCACTATGGGTCAACTGACTTGCTTTCACTCTCACCTATGATCGTTCACTAATGCTGGACTAATCTAAAAGTAGGTATATACTTTCAAATTATATTCCTATAAAAATATCAAAAATTGGGTCCGTCATTTAATTTTTAAATCAAAAAATTATCACGACTGAAGTAGTCAGAGGGCCTATCATGAAATGTTTGCCGAAATTTCGGAGCCAAACGAAACACAAATTTGATGTTAAAATTACATAATACATGCCGTTTGGATATATTAAAAATGGAAAAATATTGTTCCTTTGGACTTTTATGATAGGATGTATGACGATCGAAATGTTAAACTCCATTCATTGGTCCGATTTAAGTATAAACGAAAACACGAAATTGAGTCCGAAATTTCGGAACCTTATTTCATGGTAGACCCGCTGTTTCTTTTTTTGTGAAACATCTTCCATTATTATGTATACATATTACGTGACATAGATGACCTATATAGACATATATACAATTTGTTTTTTGAGTTAATTTATTAATTAATTGGGTTCTATTATGCTTGGCAAACCTTGGATCATAAATGTCACGTTCGTCACAAGTGTACGATAACAGCGGACAAATACCTTTATTTATACAATTAGGTGCCGTTTGGCCCCGGCATAGAATAGGTCACCCCTTCGTTTGCTATGGATGTCGTAAGAGGCGACTAAAGGAATTTAATGGTCGAGAGATGCATAGCAGCGTTCCTCTTAAAACATCATCAGAGCCTAACTGCGATTGTCAACCCGTCTACTAAGCGTGGCAACTACTGGTAAAACCCAAAGGAAGGCTTATGTTAAGCAATGAACAGTTAACGACTGAAATAATGATGACTTCATGAAAAATTAGTCATTAGCAATTGTTTTTTTTTTTTTTGCTTACCTGAACGCAATAGTTCCATGAAGGATGCATCACATAGTTGCTGAGTGGACTCGTATCTATGGCGCTGTACTGGGAAAAATTAAAATAGCATATACAAATATGAAAAGCAAATTATTAAAGTAAGAAATGAAAATAAATTTACATGCATAAACATATGTGAACAGTTAACGACTGATTTAATGATGATATTAATTTGAATTATAATATATATAGCATTATTTTTTTTATTAGCTTTACTGAAAAGATAGTTCAAATTATACAATGTCAATAATACAGAGCCGAAACTAGACCAAAGTTTAAGGTAAGGCAAATGAACTGTACTGGAAAAATTTTTTTATCTTATTTTTTTATACAAATATGAATGGCAAATTATGACGGCCCACCTGAAGGAAAATGGTATGCATAAACATATGTGTACGCCTATAGACATAACAGAATATACTGTTTCGCCCATGATACCCCCCATGCGTTGCCATTCCTGAGGACTCAGATGTTATTCCTCCGTACCCAGCAAATTCATTCAAACCGAAACACAGCCATGCAAACAGATGCTTCACTAGAAACACGAATGGGACAGCTACAAGCAATCGACTTTTATCAGTGACTTCGCAAATCTGTTTCATTTTCTTGGAGCCTTTCATTTTAAGGTAGGGCATTGCCCCTCAATGCCTCCTCTCCTAGCTACGACTATGAAATAATAGTATAATAAAATTAAATAAAAAAAAAAACAAATAATCAACCTGAAGAAAAATGAGAGCCGTCCCTATTGATATTATTCTGTTGTTTATGGTAACGCGGCCTGCACTATCGGTATACGCTGGCGTAGCACCACTGAGAGATGACAAATAGTCGCGTACAAGAGATTCAAACCGTGTGGATGATTTTTTCCCACGAACACTTAGATTATGGAATAGCTTTCCTCTGCCGAGGTTTTCCCAAAGATTTACAGCATGGGGTTCTTAGAAATGGATGGTGAAGATGTTTCTTCAGGGTCGGCAACGCGCGCAAATAATACCTCTGGTATTGCAGGCGTTCACCAGGTTCTTCATTTTTGATATCTTATACCGCTTACCATCAGGTGGGCCGTATGCTTGTTTTTGCCACCTCAGTGGTATAAAAAAATCAGGTTCTTCATTTCGATATCATATGTTTCATAACCGAGATTTAATATATTCATCATAAGGTCAATATATAGATATTTAAACTACAATATACAGGGTGAGGGCAGGAACAACACATGGGGAGTATCATGGGCGAAACAGTATACTCTGTTATGTCTATGATACTGCTCATGTCTATAGGCGACGGTTACTATTATGTTACTTTCCATCAGATGGGCCGTCAACTTATTTGCCATTCTAAGACGCATAAAAAGAATTGTCTAGATTGGTACAGAGGAATAACATCTGAGGACTTGTACAAAAATGTTATTCCTCTGTCCCATTTGTGTTTTAACTGCCATATCCCATGGCTGTATTTCCTTCAAATCGAAACACAGCCATGCAAACACAACTGCTTCACGGAATGAAAAATACGAATGGAACAGTCCATGGTACTGTTCATGTCAAACGACGTTTTTTACAAAGTCAGCTTATTTACTTTCTAATAAATTATGTGTGTGTTAAATAGTATTACAAATAAGGGGAAATATAATGTGGAATTATGTAAATTTTTCATATTGTTAATAATTTGCACGCCGCCATAGAGGCAGAATGTACATATATGGGAAATGTAAATCTCTTTCATCTACTACCTACATTCTAGCAAAATAAATTCATTTCATTTCATTTCAATAAAGCAAGCGGATGGACCATTCTTTTTTTCATCGTTTAAATAACAATACTCTTATATCCAAATATGTGTCAAGTATTTATCATATTTACGTATTTTATTACATTTATTTACATAATTATTTACAAATGCCCATCGATAAGGTCATCGGTCGAAATATGATAAAATTTATAGTAACACTCACCTTATATTTATCGAATCCCTTCAAATGATTTTGACTTAGATATTTATAATTGAACATTTTGATATTTTTTTTTAAACAACAACAATCAACAAAAAATCCACACTTAACTTATTTGAACAAAAAATTGTATTTGAAATGAATTATTAAACAACATTTTCTTTATATGCACTGATAATTAGGATGTTATATTTAAAAGATATGGCTGTTAATAATTTAAACTAAAATATAATAATAAACACGAGTTCATAATAGTTAACTTATTTAAAAATAATATTTTTAAACACGATCGTTTGCGTCAAACGTTTCGTTTGATTATAAAATTGTTCATCGATTATACAAGATGAATAAATAAATGTAGGTTGAAATAAGACTAGTTACATACATACGTATCTTACTATACCTATTTTTTTTATAGGTAATAATGAAACAGTAACCCCACCCGCGCTATCGGTATACACCGACGAGGTAACAGTAAAGGATGATAGATGAGGATGAAACAAGTCTAACTGACCTGTTTCATCCTCATTGCTCATTTGCTCATTGCATTGACAGCCCCATTGCTAGCAATGTGCCCTATTAAGTCGACCTCTACGTGGCTCCCCCTGGAAACTATCGTGAACAATTCTTGTTGAATTCGTCACGATGGGCTAACTGGTCTGCTTCATCCTCACCTATCATCTCTCACTGGTGCCCCGCCAGTGTATACCGATAGCGCGAGTGGGGTTGCCATTCCATTATCACCCATTAAAAAAACTGCCCTAACTTCATCCCTGCCATCATTCACCGGTGCCCCGCCGGTGTATATCAATAGCGCAGCTAAGATCACCATTATAACACAGGTTTTAAGTTAAACCTTCAGGAATGTGAAATCTACATCTAATCTAATTTGGTACAGTAGTTTTGAACAAATATACAGACAAACAAATAGGCAAGGTTTCAAAAAAATATTGTTTTAGCTTCTATTACCCTAATTAAGATCCCTTATAAACAATTCTTCTCAAATATATATACAAACATTGTTTAGTTACAATTTTCAACCGACTTTAAAAAGAAGGATGTTCTCAAATCGGTTGTATTTTTTTTTTGTTTCTTACCTCCTAACTCCATCAGATGTTAACTAAAACCATTTGGAAAACTCTTTTTTATTCGAAAGGATATACTTACTTATTCTCATAGAAATTTTATCAAAATCGCTTCAGTATTTTTGGTACTTAAATTAAAATGACTGGTTTTGCCATAATTGAAAAATGGTGTTTTTTTATAGAACATATTTTTTTTTATATTATATTATATATATTATATATAATCACGCTGGCAGAGTCGCTGAAAAATATAATCAACAATTCATTTTACCAAATTGGACTTTTCGTTGTCTTAATATGTACGATAAGTATTTTACCTATTATTTTTTTTTTTGGTTTATTCAATATTGTTGAGAGAGTATTCAAACGAATCGCAAAGCAGCATATACAAAAAATTTGCTATAATTAGCAAGTTTTATGTATATTCCCGTTAGTCTTGGCATAGAATAGGCCATCCCTTTCTTTCCCGTGGATGTCGTTAGAGGCGATTAAGGGAGGGCGAGAGATGGGTAGCAACATTCTACTTAAAACATCTCCAAAGCCTAACTACGGTTTTTTTATGGATAAAAATGGTGTGGTAACCTCGCCTGCGCTAACGAGATTCGCTGGCGGAGCACCAGTGAAGGGTGATAGGTGAGAATGAAAACAGGCCAGGAATTAACCATGATAGTTTCCAGGGGGAACCACAAGGAGGTCGACCTAGTTGGGTATATTGCTAGCAATGGGATTCTCAGTCTCCATTACTAACAATCCCTTTCCCCCCGCCTAACTACGGTTGCCAATCTGCCTGCCAAGCATGGCAACTACTGGCAAACCTCTCTAGGAGGAGTCTCATGTTCAGCAATGGACATGAAGTCCATGATGATAACTTTACATGAATATGTATCGTCATTGTTTGATTTATTGTATAATTTCTTATTTTTATATACCTATTTGACTGTTTGTATTATTAATAAATAAAAATAATATAAAAATAAATTTCGTATGTGAAATAGAATACTTATTTTTTTTAAGACGTACACATGCGTCCACTTAGCTTTAAATTACTTCTGTGCTGTAAAGATAAGCTTATCTTTCCTGATATCATATTGCTCACTGACACTTCGACTCCGGGCCACACACTTTATACACATAATCGATTTATAGCCACCAACATTTGGGAGAGGCGAATAAAATTGTCGATTGCAAAATTAAAAAAGGAAATTCTCGATTCGTTCGTCTTTTTTTTTTATACAGACAAATGTATGTGACGCGTTATTTTTGCCAATTATGAATGGATTTTAATTATTCTTATTGCACGCGATGGGGTTTGCTATATGTTGGATTGTACATTTTCCTTTATAGAGCAAATTACTACTTACTGCGTAAAAGTTAAAAATTAAGTATATATATATATATATATATATATACATACCATATGTACATATACATATGTATTATATGCATGTATGTATGTACGTCTCCATATTTAGAAATAATGTAATTTTCATCATTTAGTTCCTCCGATCAAACTATAATTACTCTTCTCCATCCAAAGGTTTGCCTGGAAAAAATCGTTTTTAGCGATAAGCCCATTGTTTTCTCGCTGTGATTATTTCTTGTAATTTTTTATATCTATAATAAGTTTACTATTGTAATCTTTTGAAGGAGAGTATCTATCTATCTATATTATTTAGATATATTAACATGCTTTATTTCCGTACATGGGATTCATCTCAAATTATTATTATTTTTCATTTAAAAAAACAATAACAGCGTTTCTTGCCCATTTTACTGGACTGAAACATTATCTAGATATTCTAATATTCCTTAATTCCGTACATTGGATGCATCGCAAATTAGCGAGTGCAGTAATTGTGTCAAGCGTCGGTGTCAGGATGATGTATGGCCCATAAAAATAGATTGATCCTCGTTTACTAACTCGACGAGGTACGATTACAACGCGTAATCGACCGCCCGCTGGTACAGCGGTAAAGGTTGGCCGCTTTCAACATAATGGTCAGAGAGGGGAAGAATTTGCTGGTAATGGGGACTAATGACCCCTAAGGTATTAAGTCGACAGGACCCCTGGAAACTCTTGGATAATTCCTGATGATTTCGTCACGGTGAACCAACTGACCTGGCTCCATTCTCACCTATCGTCCCTATGGTAACCTGTCAGTGTAAACTATTAACGCTGATGGAGTTAACATTACATTTTCGTGTAGATACAATTTTCATCTAAATAAGTGTCAAAAAGTCTGATAATAATTATCTACAATATTTATTTAAATTGCGACACAATACAATACGTACATTATGTAGTTAGTAATTAATGATAACACCTGCCTATAAGTAACTTCATTAAACAAGTTTTAATGACATTGAATGTTCATTAATTTTGTTAGTATTTCCACTCTACAACCATTCGCAGGAAACTCTCTTAATTATCCAAAAAGACATCCATCGAAATTGCTCGTAATTTGGTCCGAAATAGGCACCGCACGCGCCGCGACTGGCAACAGACATTATCGGTGCGGTTCGAATTTCAAATTACGCGCTGGTGTCGGATGGCGCCCTCCGGAGCGTCGCCTGGCAACGCACAGGTGTCGTATCGATCAGCCGAATTTCTTTAACGTTCTGCTCGCCTGGTACATTCCATTTTATAATATTATATTTGTTATCTAGCGTAATTGTTTGTTTATTTGGAACACGTTAATCTCTAGAATTTATCAGTCGAATTATTAAAATACTTATTGCATTTGATAGTACATTTTTAGAGGAAGACTGGATAGTCTTGATAGATTAAACGTTGTGATATTTTTTTTATACAGTTCAGTAAAATTAAAGAGATATATTAGTTAGTTATTATCACAATGCAATTATGCGACTCCTAATATCTTAAGAGTGGCAAAGCATGGGAGTAAAATGGGGACCTGGAAACATAAACTTCTATCTACATAGAAAAAGTATACATTAAAATATAGGTACTTTTTTTGCTAGTAAACGATGTTAATTTAATGTTACAAATATATACATAATATTTATTCAACAAACGTAGATAAAAATGGCTGTAATATTATTCTGCAAAGTTTTCAGTTGTTATAACATAAAAACCCCGTGTTCATTTGGCTCTTAGACGAAACATGTTCAAAGTAATATTTACCTCTGTAAAATGACAGTTAAAGGGTCATTATTAAATCAGGAATAGCCAATTTTCTCCGTACATTTATTATGTTGAGAGACGGATGCTCGTTGCTGGCAAAATTCTAAAGTGCCCAACATTAGTTTAAATTATAACAGCAAAGGCCGTATCCATTTGCATCGCACGTGACCGTCTGTCCCAGCGTCTAGTCGTCTCATCAAACTGTGGACGGAGCGATTAATTTGTCTAATATGACCTCGTAAGTGATAGGATGTGGCGATTTTGTGGCTGATTTTGAAATTTAGCTTATATATACCTAAACAGATATAAATATGTAACTACTAGCTGATCCCCATGGGTACAGCCGCTTGTTAATTAGAATATAACCTATCAATGTAGCAAATTTTATTTAAATCTGTTCAGTAGTTTTTATGTGAAAGGGTAACAAACAGCCATCTACCTATTCTTACAAACTTGCACAGTATAATTATTAAAAGGATTTTTTTTAATGGGCGGGAATGGTATCCACACCCGCGCTATCGGTATACACCGGCGGGGCACCAGTGAAGGATGATAGGTGAGGATGAAACAGGTCAGTTAGCCCATCGTGACAAATTCAACAAGAATTGTTCATGATGGTTTCCAGGGGGAACCACGTGGAGGTCGACCTAATAGCGCATATTGCTAGCAATGGGGCTGTCAAACTCTATTGCTAACAATCCCTTTCCCCCCTATTAATAGGATTCTAATATCATGCCAGCACAATGCTGATCTTGACACATGAGAGGAAAATATTGGCTTACTATTATTATACTAGGCATGAAGTTTAGTAATAAGGGTCTACTTAAAATATTCTTTCTCTTATACTGAATTACGTGACTAAAAAAACACAATACGCGCTTTGTTCCATTGATCATCACTAGGGATATCACTTATTCTAGGGATATCACTTATTATGGCATTTTACGATTGAAAAGTGATAAGTGCGAACTCGTCCAATAGTGAGCATTTACAGTAGCGTAATATAGATGCCTACAATATTAATATCATAACCCTAAAAAAATCTTTAAAAAAAAATTATTTACAATTAATTTGTACGTGTATGGCCC